CTGAGAGAGAGTGACTGGCCTAAGGTCACCCAGCTGGCTTTGTGCCTAAGGCAGGACCAAAACTCTCAGTCTTCTGGTTTCTAGCCTGATGCCTTAACCTTTACACTGAATTGACTCTCAAGATCAAATAATAACAGATTGTCAAGTGTTAAAGCAGACTAGAATTAAATATATAAAGCCCTCAAATTGCCATTAAACATCATTAAAAAGGTCACAAGAAAGGAGAGCCATTACTGAAAAAGCCCCTTCTCCAGCACACAGAGTCTGATCTTTTCAACCAGCAAAGTTTCTGAGGCTGATGGTGGAAGCATGGATGAGGTAACAGAGGCAAAGACAGGTAATCAAGTAATCCTATCCAAAACTTTAACGCTTGATTTGCATGCAAGAAGGAACCTCTTACTGCTTGATGTGTAAAATCTTTACCCACTGAGTACAGGGCCCTACCTGGTGCCAGGTGGCAAAGTTGACCTTGTCAGCAGCATTGAAGGCCATAATATTGTATTTCTTGGAGGTGCTTCTGTGGAAACAGGAGGGGAAATGAATCAAAGCAGGGCTCTGCATCTCTGCTGAGAAAAATGGAAATGTTTCACTGCAAGGCCCTTCCAGATACTGAAGAGGAAAGGACAGTGGTAATATTAATAGAGAAGGAATGTGTGTGTATGTTTGGGCACACATGCATGTATAGTACAGGGGCTACTCTGGGCCTGATGACTACAAACAAATTGCTTGAGATATTTTTCCCATTCTGCAATGGACCAAAGGTTGTCTGTAAATGGCCTTTGGGGAGGTGTTGCATAGGTTTTGGGTTATCAACAAAGTGTATATTGTGTAGTGATTCAGAATAAGCTATAAAATTCATCATATAAATCTTCACTGAAACTTCACACTGAATTCTAGCTTTTACAAATCCTGGGGGGGAGAAGACACTTTACCAAATAAAGCATGGTACAAAGGAAGTATGCATTCTCCCTCTGATTTAATATCAGATCTTATGGTGCAGTGTATTAGATTAGGACCAGTGGCACCCAAATTCAACTCCTTCATTCAGCCGCATAAGCTCTCTTGATGACTTTGGGCCAATCATGATCTCTTAGCCCAGCCCACCTTACAAAGTTGTTGTGGGGACAGAATTATAGAAGGAAGTGCTACATAAGTTGCTCTGACCTCTTGGAAGAAAGAAACTAAAAGAATCTAATAGCAGATCTTTTAGTTTAGACACAGAGCACAGAACTGATGGGTTTCATCACACAGGATGTAGGGGTGACTAATGGGCCAAGACTTCAATTAATAAATAATAAGACTACCAAGGGCTATGATTTTGATGGTTATATATTATCTCTGATACTGGAGACAGAGGGTCTCTGAATGCCAATTGCTAAGAAACATCTATGGGAAGGCACTTGCTGTAGCATTTGTATCCTGCTTGTGGGCTTCCCAAAGGCATTCAGTTGATCATATGGGGCAAATGTGGACTAATAGGTCTTTGGTCTTACCCAGCACAGCACTTCTTAGCAGCCCGCTTGTAACAAATAAAGGCTGCTGGATCTGGCAGACCAAGGGCATTCACCACATGTAAGACACCTATCTATGTTCTGCCCCCCTAAAAAAATGCTTTGGGCAGAGGTCTGCCTGGTGGTCTTTGTACTTAGTAAATCATGGTTAATCTCCCAGAAGCTAAGTAGGGCTGGCCCTGATTATTACTTGAGAATTATAGAACTGTTGGCTAAAGGGGGAAGTCAAAGCACAATCCAGAAGCCAGCGGCAAACCACGTCTGTAACACTGCCAAGGGGACCGCATGGCCTTAGTTGCCTTTGCATCAGCCATGACCTCAGTTCCCCTTGCAGGAGCTGGCCGACTGGCCCTTCCTGTTTTATTTGCAGGAGAGACCTGCTACACCCCATTTCCACTTTACAGAATCCACTGGGCAGCCACAGCTGGAGTGATTTCGGTTTGTGCCTGCCCGACACCAGAAAGGGGAGCTATGTGAAGTAAATAACTTTCCTTCGAGCCATGGTTCCAGACTATGATTAAGGCTTAGCACTTGTACTGTAACCGTGAGCCTGGAGGGGGTTTAGCGTGTCAAACAAATGCATCCCAGGACATCCCATACTGAGGGAGAGCCTTGTCCAGTCGTATGATCAGCTGACCACTGAGGACATATGGCTCTTGCACTCCATGTATTGAAACTAGAGATTTTTCAGCACTGTATTGCAGGGCAAAGGGTAAAAGACCATCAAAGGCTCTGGGTACTAAATGTGTTACAGAATAATGTGACAGGCTGACTGCAAAGCCATAACAGAAAGCCTTTCAGAACAAACACTGTGGCTTGTGAATGCTGAGCCTCTGAGACTGCAGCATACAGGTCACAGCCACTAGCCAAAATGCCAGTCAGAGGAATCCTGTCTGTACACCTATAGGCCTCTCACTGCCATGAGTGAGTTTGAAAGCCATCTCTTTTGACAGGCAAGAACCTTTCTCAGAAGCTGTTATATGATGGAGGCTTTCCAGTTTGTTTAGCAGCTCCACATCCCAGAATCCTCTTCTGTCATGACATTTCATTCCCCCCCCCCCCCCCCCCCCC